TCATTCACTCAAAATTATTTTTAAAGAGCCTATTGTTACACACTTAGTTACTTACTAATATACATCGATGAATCAAATAAGCATGGTTCCTGCCCTTACAGATTTAATTGTCTAGTGGGACTAAGATGATTAAAAAATGAAGCAAGCGAGTGTATGCTGTGGTCATGAGCAACCCCAAAATCTCAGTGGCTTTCCATCAGCGAATCTTTGTTCCTGGCTCATGCAATTTGCTCATTGCAAGTCTGCAGGAAGGGTCTGTGCATCTCTGTCACTCAGGGACTCAGGGTGATAGAGGCTTTGTCTTAACATGTGCTTCCTACATTCTCCACGGCAGTGGGAAGTGAGTGCGGCAAAGCCCACAGCGGCCTTAAAGTTTCTGTTCATAAATGGCTTCTATTCCTCCTACTTATGCTTCATTATGCAAAGCAAGTCACACGGCTATACTTGAATTCAAGGACAGTTAAGAAGTACACCACCACAATATGCTCAGATCAAAGAAGGTCAAAATTATCTAGTGAATAGCTCTAACGATTACCAAAGCATTAGATTTCAAATGAGCAGGGTCTAGAGAAAGAGACTACAGCAGTAGTATGGGGGAGGAACTCCTTACATGGATGTCTGAAGAGTCTCTTGAGACATGAGTAGATGAGATGAACTCAGTCCAGTCATGAGCAGAAGAAAGAATTCTTGCTCGAATAAACATGGGTGAAAATCCTGAGGCTGGCAAGAGCTAACCAATTATAAGAACAGAGAAGGGATCAGCATGACTGAAGCATGGTGAGTGAGGCAGGGACTGGGATGAGATCCTTCAGGGCTTCGCATGCCTCTGTGAGGAGTGGGAAGCCAAGGAAGGCTTTAAGCCAGAGCATGGTACCCTCTGGTTTTTGGCTGCTGTGTAGAATATAAGGATGCAAGTCAAGAGTGGGCACTGTGGTGGTACAGCATTATTTAAGGTGGGAGGAAACCCACCAGCACTGGAGAAACATCAAAAAACTTCCAGATATATTTTGGTGTTAGAAACAATAAGATATTTCAGATAGAGTAGTTACAGGAGTTAAGGAAAGGATGGCTCATGAATGACTCCTAGTTTTCTGATCTGAACTATGGTGTGGCAGGCGGCATCATTTACGAAGCTGGTTTAGATAGGGAAAGGACTGGTTTCTTTGATTATTGTTTTGTGTGGTCATGTTGTGTCTGGCTGGCTGGTTGGTTAGGGGGAATGACTGGATGAGATTTTAAGAGTTTGAGTTGTTAATTTTAAGAAAGCTGTGAGGTATTCACAAGCAGATCAAGCAGGAAGTTGCATGTTTATGTTGAGTATGTAGGAGACATCCTGGCTAGTTAGATATATTTGAGAGTCGTCAGCACATATGAGGTAATTAAAGCCAAGGAAATAATGATATTCCACCTGGAGAGTGAATGTAGGAAAGAGAAGAGGGCTCAGGACAGAGTCCTGGAGAGCCCCAATATTTAGAGTAAGTAGAGGAAGAACTGGCAAAAGAATCTGAGGATCAGCCAAGGACAAAGCAATGTCTTAGCACAGAGTCCAAGGGCAGAGGGTGCTTCTTACGGAAGAATGATAAACTGGGTTAAATGCTCCTGGAAGAGGTCAAGTCAGGTTAGGACAAATCGGTCAGATTAGAAACAATAGCTTTACAGTCACTCACTCATTTCCCCATTCGGTACAGGATGATTCTTCCGGCTTTATTCCTTCTTTCATTGGACCCATATTATTTATTCTTTGCCTGCTGTGGACCAAAAATGGTCCACAGTTCCCAGAATATGGTGACCCATAAGACAGCCATGGTGTCTGCCTCCATGAGTCTTAAAATCCTTTGGAGCATACAAACAATAAACAAGATAATCTCAGCGCAAATGCTGTGAGGAAAGGCAAATGTTAAAGAGTATTACTAGGCCTGCTTTAGGTCTAGGAATAGACAAGTCATCAAAATGCCTTGCAACATGTAATTATAAACAAAATCTCTTTCTCCTTGAGTTGAAGGATAACCAATTATGATTTTGTTTAAAATTTTTAAGACAATGTGAGTGGAGACCATAGTGGGAGGTATGTTCATTGACTGTGATTCCAGGCAGCACTTGTGGTGGTCCTAGATGGTGCCAGCTCTGTGAGGAAAAGAAAGTAAGGGCAGTCCCAAGCACACGGCAGAGCTGTCTAGATACTAACTCCATAGGCTGTTTCCAGCATATCACAAGAGTTGTGGGCTTGTTGAGATTGATGTTAACATGTTTTCCATCCAATATTTTCTAAGAGAAGCAAATATATTTTCTGTGTCATCTACAGTTGTGCTCCATGTAATTAAGACGTGTGACAACTGTCTATTCGTGTGTGTTCCAAGCAGGCAGTCTGCCAGGCAGCACAGGAAGGAAATGTCATTTGCTCTGTACTCTGACCGTTATCCCTCCTCCCAGACTGCTTGTGTCTGTCCCCACCCTGGAGAAGGCCTTTCCATTCAAAGAGGAGCTTGGAGACCCAGGCGGAGGGAGATGTGGCAGGAAGCAGCCTCACACATTTGCCTTTGGTGGAGCAAGTTTGCAAACACTTCTTCCAGTGACCACCAGGTGTGAGCATGCTTTTCAGAAACCCGAAGCTATGCCATGAGCTTTTCTTGCAGGACAGAGTTTGTCTTCCTGGAACCTGCAGTTCTGTAGCAGAGTGTAGGGCAACAGATTTATTTTAGGAACCCCATCCCGGACAACTACCTGAAGTAGCTACGGTTTGAATTAGAATCTCCACCAATTAAAACTACTGCCCCTATTTTCTTCAGAATTGAACAGTTATAAACTTCTCTGCCATCTAGCCTCAAACAACTTTAGGTCTTATTTTCATCATCCACTAAGCAAAGCTAACCAGTGGTTTTCACTTTCCTAGAGTAGGTAACTAAGGTTTAAGCAATTTCAGCATTCATGGGACCTATTATTGTTGCCTATAAGATAGCATACAAACCATGCGGTTGCTGCCAGGATATTAAGAAACACCTAGGCCTTATGGGAGAGAACTGAACACTGGAAGGTGCCACGAGCTCACAGGGCAAACATGGATGGGGACTTGCTGGGACAAACACGTTCCAGTGAAAGTCAAATTCATTGACTCCTCCTATCTCTTTTGTAAATGTTTTCCTCTACACCCTCTCAAGTAACAATATTGTCTGGAGGTGGAAATATTTAAGGAAGACTAATTTAAGAAGTGATTTGTGTAACCTATATATGTCTTCTAGCCAATATGCATAGCTTTAAAATAATCTTTAGTTGTCTAATTGCCTGTCTCCCATGAGGCTTGTTGGCTTCACAAACATCATAACTTTTCTCAAGCTCTTGGAAACCAAATTGGTCTTTTTCTTTATTGGTTATCCCAGAAACTCAAGGGAATATGAATAATGAATTGAACACCAAAAGTTTTCCATTTCACCTCAGACAAATCTGCCTGTCCCTGTTGTGGGGCTATGAAAGGACTGACTGACGTTTGCCATCAGCCTTCCTTTTTCCACCTCCCCTTAATTGACAGCTCTCAGCCAGTTCTTTTGAATATATGCTGCCGTCCTACCCCAGCTGTGAGAAAAGCATAGCCTAGAATTGTTTTATATCTCACCCCTATAGAATCTGATTCACTGAAGTGAGTGTCATCAACTGAGCCAGGAACCAGCAGAAAAAGAGACAGAAAACCACTATTACACACAGAGGTCATTTCTATTTGTTTTATAACCCCCTAGTGATGTATAAAGTGAACTTCAGGCAAGGTGAGAAGGATACCACATCACACAGCAGAACACTTATGAGCGTCTTAGAGTCCAAACAAATAATCTACTTTATGAAGATGCATGACCGTCTCTGGGCAGGGAAGGAGACCAACAAGCCCGGTGCCTTTTATTAAATCATCTGTCATCACAAAATTACCTATTTGAATTGAGCTTATTCTACAGGGCAGCGATGATCAATTTGATCAAAATTTGCAGTTATCTAACCTCAGGCATAAGCCCATATGATAAACAAGGAGGGAGAGGATCCCACTGCCCTAAATTCTCTGCTCCACACTCCGACTGTGCCTCATTCCTCCTCAGGTGTGAAATTCCCCCAAATCAAGACTCCTTTGGGTTAACAAGCCCATTTTGAAAGGTAAATAACTCTTAAGAGAATTAGCTTAACAATTAAGTCCTTTATGGAGAGTGCACCGGCTGCCTTAAATTACTTCCCTCTTAAACTCCAGTTGAGCTATCCCAAGAGTAATGAGTACTTTAATAGCAGAGACTTAGAAAACAGAAGAGCAATCTTGGAATATGAGGAGAAGGGTTTCAGGTAAAGACGTGCTTTGGTAGGACTTAAAAATGGAGGGCTCGCGCAGCCAGAGGCATGATGAAGACAGAAGGGGGATAAAGACAGACAAGTAGGAAGGTCCTGAACACTAAGGGTAAATACTTCAAAGCTGTGTCCTACACTAGGCATGGACTGCTCCCAGGTTTCAGGGTAATACTGCCTCGTGACTATTCAGATAAGATAAGGTAACCGTCTACACCAGCCTTAAAAGTAGGCTTATCTCTTCACACTTCATACGTAGAAACAGAGCACCTCAAAATTCATCAGTTATGTGATTAAAAACCTCCACGTATCTGTATATTCCAAACTGTGGTAACAGCTAATAGGAATGACAACTTTTCCTGATATTTTCCATTCACCTTAATGATTTAAAATAAAGTCAGTCACAAAAGGCACACCTGTTGAAGGAGGCAGGTAGAGTCACATAGATAAGCTGAATGTGGGGCATTGTCTTAATTCATTGTCTCATGCCTCCATTTCCCAGGCCATTATTCCAGTCAGCCAAGGCCGGAAATGAATGTATTTTCACTCAAATACAAACTCTCCTTCCTTGACTACTCTCGAGGTATGACAGGCCTCCAGAGATGTTCTACTGAATATGAGAGGCTTAAGAAAACCAGTTTTTACCATACTCAAGAGTCAAATGAAGGCATCTTAACTCTATTACTTACCGTGCAGCTCAAATTCATTTTTGCCAAGAGATTATTTATAGTTGTGGACACCAAATAGATGATCTGTAAACTGCCTGTGGCGAGAGTTACTTTAGGAATCACAAGCTGAGCTGGAGGGAGCAGCACGGAGACGCGCAGCAGCACAGCGGCTCAGCGGGCTACGAGGCGGCTCCAGGGATTTCTGTTTTCATAACAGCTCTATCCTCACAGTCCTGCCACATAACCCCGGGCAGTCTTTTAACCTGTTTCAGCTGTACTTTCCTCCATAGTTTGTGAGTTAATCAGAAGCCCTTGGGAGAAAAAAACCAATTTAAGTGATTTGTAAACAAAAGGTTTTATAGAATACAGTTAATAATAAATAGCAAGGCTTTGAGCCCTTGATACCAGAAGTAAATAATCAGTTCCCAAACACTGGCCTATTCTATCAGTGGCATCTGGCAGTTTTTATAAAAACTCACATCTGCTGTCAGACCAAGCTTTCCCAGCCCTGCTCAGTGGTAAAATCTGAGGACTTCAGATTTTGCACCTGAGTCCATATCCTCAGCCCCCCAGAAAGGTATGGTTTGGAATGGATGTTTTTAGGACCTGTTGATAGCCACCACTTTATATAGCTTCCAGAAACATAGACCCAGAGCTAAAAAGAGCCAGACCCAGCAGATGAGTGGGAACCCTATGCAAACCAGGTGAAAGCTGGTAGTGGATGTCTTAGGGGTGAGGTGATTATTTACCTTTCAGTGCCTTGAACCCTGGAAACACATTTGAAAGCCCATACGCCTCCATCATGTATGCATAATACAGCAGACTCACCATTCAACCCATTACTTTGACCTTAGCTCTGATCTAGGTCCATCCTCCACTGCCCTTCACAGGTCCCCAGCTGTGGTGCTGGGACAACTGCTGCTCCTGACAGCCCGGTCTTTTCAATGTGTAGCACTCTGAGAAAGAAACAACATTCTGCAGCTGTTGTGTCCTCTCTAGTTTATTCCACTGAGATCCAGTATCTTGATTTCAATCATCAGTCAAGTTGCTCAATCTGCGTTCTCATCAGATCAGTACCAAAGGTTGTGGCTGTTTGTGTTGTTGCTGTTTTTAACTAAGACTTTGGGAAATGATGAAGAAATTTGTTAAAAATGGTTCACCTATACCATGCAATTAAAAATAAATGCAATTTATTGTTGCTAACTTAAGCACACTTACATGCAATTATTATAGTCGGAGGTCTGGAATACACATTCAGAGCCTCTCCACTAAAAGGTTAATGAAAACTGTTTGCCAGGGTGTTAAAAAGGAGTCTGAGCTCTAATCCAGCATGGTTTCCTCTCCTTGCAACATGCAGGCCCTGCTAAGCCTTTTTATGGGCCCCATGCTGTGTTTATTCATACCAGTCTAGGCTGAAAAAAAGGTTGGCTTTTATTGCAGTACTTATTCATCGTCTCTTTATGAAAACTGCTCAGAGTTAAATTTAAGTACTAGCTTTAATAATTGCCTTTACTTCCCTCAACATGCTCTGCAGAATGTCTGCCACTAATGGGTTCTCACAGTGTTTCCGAGATGCTGTAGTTCATCTCCCACCTCTGAGTGCCCCATGGGATTGGTGTTGGACATGAGTTCTGCATATTGCTCCAATGGGAACTGAGATCTATTTTGATCCCTTTAATAGAGAAAATAGCTTCTGGAATGGGGTTTCAAACCTACTTTATGGTAATGTGGGCATGATGATTTCATCCCTACACCACCATTAGTATTTGTTCCAAATCCCCTTCTGGCTAGCTCCAAAAATAAAACCAGTTCTCCAGCTTTTCCCTAGAAAGAGCTTGTCCACACATCTAACACTGCAACTTTTGTAGCTCCCATGCAAGGCACAGATCCTCAAATCACCTGGCTCTGATAGCCAGTGGGACTCAGAATTCACAAGTCCCACTGGACTACGTTAAACAAAAAATCAGTTTTCAAAAAGGTGAGCAAGTACTTCATGCAGCCATCTCCCCTGGGCCCCACATGGAGATATATCCACACAAGGTCATGTCACCTGTGAAGTTTCTGTAAACCTGAGACTTGTGTGTGTTAGACTGTTGGTCACTCATAGGAGGGCCAGTCTTTTGATGTTCCGGTTCCTGCCCAGGTTTGCCCTTCCTTGCAGGAGCTCAACACACAGACTTTGAGAAATTCAGGAATTTTAAAAATAGTCCACCTTGTTCAGAATTAAAATCAACTTTAATCAAAACCTTACAGATGCTCACCTACTCAAGGTTTCTTCAAATATTTCTTTCTGACCCAGGCTGTTATGCCTTCTTCTCATCTTCCTTTAACCCTCAAGCTTTTCATTCACTCTCTAGCAGAAAAAGACTTTTTCTTCCACATCTACCTCTATGGCTTCAGGTCAAAATCACTGGCATCACAGCTGCCGACTGTCACAAGGCCATGTTGCCCTTAGCTCGAAGAAATTCTAGATCCCTGATGCCTGTCCCTGGAGACTTGAGTTATCATTCTTGCTTCAGGACAAAACTGCTGAAGTTATAACTTCCTCAGATTCCTCAAGCTTAACTTAGTGCTAGCCCCAGGAAACTCCTACCTCTTCCCTCTCTCTAGTTTGTACTAAATTCATCAAAAACATCTTGGATTTCCTCTCCTTCCTTCTAACATTCGCCTAAACAGAAAGGGAAATAGTCTGCACAGTGCCCAAAAGAGAACCCAGAGGAGAGTATCTATAACCACATCCTTAGTTTCATTCAGGGAAGAACACATCCTAAAGAACCAGTAATCCTGGTTTGGTGTTTTTTGGTCTATTTGTATTACTTAAGAATCTTAAATTATCATGCCCTTAAAACTCCAGCCATTTGGATTATACCCCTTGTTCTGGTTGTTCCTATTCCAGTTCAATAAGAAGTTATCTGATCATCAGTTGCCTTCCTATATAGCTTGCCCCCACTGAGCAGATCAGCTGACACAAGTCTACCACTGTGCCTGGAAGCTAAATTTCTCATTATAAATTTATGCATTACTCTGGTTTGTTCATTATGCTTCTATGAGTCTGATTAGTGTAGCTCATCACCTGGAATGTATCACTTCTAGAAAATATAAACATTCAACTTCATGGGCATAAAATTTTTTCACCCCAAACTCAGGCTTTTAGAGATTTCTAAAGATATATACATATCTTTAGATATATATATCATGTTGAGGGAAGTAAAGGCTTCCTAGAAACACAAAGGAAGCCTTTACTTCCCTCAACATGCTCTGCAAAATATCTGCCACTAATGGGTCCTCATAGTGTTTCCGAGATGCTGTAGTTCATCTCCCACCTCTGAGTGCCCCATGGGATTGGTGTTGGACAGTATATATATATATACTGTACCCAGGATTAAATGCTCAATTTAGCTATATTCTTGGGAATTCCTTAACTCACAACTGGGCACCTGGGTTTTTTATGTTTCATTTTCAACTTCAATTACCAAAACAGTTATACACTCACTCACACGTTCACACATGCATAAAAGGACTTTCTATTCATTTCACTGACACTTGTGAATGAAACTGTCTTTGAATTCATCCATTTTGAATTCTTTATAACTACTATTGGCATTTTTTAAGTCCTGAGTCATTCGTGATCATTTAACAAATTTGCAGAACTCTTGGTTTGTTCACAAAACACAACATGTCCTCCAAATTTTAAGCCAGAAACTCTTCTGAGGAACCTGTTAACATTAAGGAGAAATCAATGCAATGTCTCCTGCTGGCAAACATAGCATATTTCTAATTACCTCTTTTCTTCTTAAATCTTTCTTTCCAAATCATTACTTAAAATCTCTTTCTTCAAGGCATCACCAATTAAGTTAGATTGACCTACCTCAGCAGGTACATTGGGCTTTTCTTTCCTACTGTAGATTTTTTTCTGATCCTCCTACATTTATTGATTTCTCTCCACATTGAATCTTGTTAACCTTTAGTCCATATATATTCTAGCCATTTTTTTTTAATTTCATGAATTGTCAAAATGGAAGACCGTGGAATCTGTATAATTCATGTTTGACCATTCCACCCTTCTTTACTTTTAAATACTCCATTTTCCTTCCTCCCCTCTGTTCTCTTCACACTGGTCTATGCTGTGTATTAACAGGCAGGCACAGGGGTCTGAACTATGTTTAGAGAGAAGCAGCTACCAGAACTGCACCATAACCTGAATCATTTTCTCTGTGGACACACATACCCACCACACACATGGTGAAAGGTGGAAAGGACTGGCGAAGTCCCTGAAGGTAGTGCCCCCTCACCTTCTGTTTTAAAGAAGGCCATTTGGACCACGTTTGTGTAGACTACATTAGTGTTATCTCAAGCCATCTTGCAGTAGACTTCTAATGCATTCTCCTTAATGCAGCCCGAGCAATCTTTTCTAAAACACAACTTTGGCTTCTCTATATGATGATGATTCAGATCATTTCTGACTCTCTTTTTTAATACAAAGTGAAACTCAAGACAGGCACACCAGCTCTTCATGTCTGGTCTTTTCCTTTCTCAGGACCTCTTCCTGTCGTGGGCACCTCTTCTCCCAGGCCTGCTTACTTTGTATATTCAATTTCTGTATTCAGTGCTCCCAAATGGCCCTGTGTTCTTGCACATATTGTTCCCTCTGAGTACAATTTCTTTTCCCCCTATTTCTCCCTATTTATTCATTTTTAGACATATTTTTTGTCACTTCCTCTACTTAAGACTTTCTTGAATCCAGTCACCAACAGCTTTGCTTTGTGCCCCTAATCAACTTCATAATGACTTTTATTGGGGCCCTTATAATTCTTTATTGTGTCCATTTGCTTACATTGTATGTCTCTGTAAGTCTCCCTGAAGACCTACAGATAGATGCAAATCAAGTTTTAACCAGAATGCATGATAGACTATCTTTGGCTTTAGATATATTGTTCCAAGAAATTTGTTAACATTGTCCTGTAAAGACAAATATCATCCTGCAAACATGAATTTGGAAATTGTTTTTGAGCAATGTAAAATTCTCCTAACCTTTAACAGTCTTTGTTCAATTCTCTCAATGATCAAAAGCATTTATTAGTAAGGTAATTAGCAAGGATTATGAATGTGGTCAGGCAGCAATGTGAATCCAAGTGGTCTAAATGACCCACAAACCAATAATAACCCATGTTCTTAACCAGCGAGGCAGGTAATGCTTTCAAGGCCCTGGGTTCAGATTTGTCTGTAAGCTGACATCACAGGGAAAAGCGTTTGATGCATAATAGTTATCAAAGTAGGATGCCTAAATTTAGCTAAACTGTCTCAACTAACAAAGGGATATTTGCCTGGCAAACTCCAAGTTGAAAATTTTCAACTGAAAATTGGTCTAGATATAAAGAGGATCAAGAACAATGTGTTACTTTTTGGAACTTCCTTCAAGTAGACAGTAATCGTGGAAATTTTACCCAAAATTATCTTTGCATTGCCCTATTCCCAGTTAAATTCAAGCTTGACAGTAATCTTTTTTAACCTTTTCTTATTTCTTTGAAATTGCTGGAACAGTAACATGCCCTTAAGGAGCAAAGACAGTGTTGTTTCTATCTTTGACTCCCACAGAATTAGCAGTGTACTTGTATATTGTATATCATATTCAATATGTATTTATTGATGAAATATTTGAAATATCTCATTACCACTTTCTGTTCTATAAATATAGATGAAGTGTCATAGATATGTATGCCTCTAAGTTTAATGTAGACAAATACTCTGATAAAAAACTCTTAATAGAAGAAAACACCAAAAAAAGGACAAAACAAACTCAATTAGAACACATTTTCTTCTTCACTATCTCAAATGTCTTTTTAAATGTCAGAATTCCATGAGTATTTGATATAGTTTATTCAGTATAGATCACATCCCTTAGGGGTTTATTTTTATTATTATACAAGGCTTTCCTTTGTATTCCTGGCATTTTTTATCCCAAAATAGGGTATTGTCAGAATAT